GGGCAATTTTTGTGGACGGTGCAGTGCTTTGTGAACGTCGAAGTGCAGTCTTCGTCTCCAGCACGGCATTTTGCGAGCCGCGGAGCACAATATTCGTGGCAGGCGACACGCAGATGTCGTGGCAGGCGAGGCGTTTTTTGAACCTTGAAACGGCAATGGTCGCAATCGCGGCAGCCGCGACGTTTTGCGAACATTGAGGTGCTTCGTGGCAGGCGAACTACAGATTTCGTTTCAAGAACGGCTTTTCTGAACGTTGAGCGGAGCGTGCGTTTCGCATCGTGGCACGCGAAACGCTTTGCCCACCTCGAAGTGCAAGTTGCGTGGCAGGCACAACGCTCTGCGCATGTAGCACCACAGGATCTGCATTTCGAGATGCGCGACCAAAGGGGACCAAAGGAGCAGGGACCAGCGGACCAAAACCAAAGGACCAGGTTTCAGATTGAAGGACTTTTTCCAGGACGAAAGACAAGTGCTGTTCCCCAGACAAGCCAACAGCAGAAATCACGGCTCAAACAGAATGGAGTCGGCCCCACCAAGATTGAGGCGCTCGCGGCAAATGAACGAAAGGCAGGCCCGCTCACATCTTGCTTTGACAGCCTCCGGGTTCCAGGGGCCGTGAGGAGCATGGCTCGGTTGAAACAGTCCAAGCCCAAGGCAGGGCAAAGAAGGGAACCAAATGCACAGGCAGTGCAACGGGACCGCCCTGCGAGTCAAGGAGTTCTCGGCTCTGCCAGCTAGTGGTGAAGGCTGGCAGATCGCAGCCGGGATGGAAGGCACAAGCGGGCAAGGGTTGGGAACGCTATGCAAAAAAGAGCCTTTTGGCCTTTTGGTGCACTCTCTCCAACATCCAAGGAGCCTGTTATTGAAAACAAGGATCTTCAGCTGACAGCATACTGATTTGACAGCCTTGCTCTCTTGACAAGTCTCTGCCACGCAGATCTCATCAAGCTCATATGCAACTGTTGACGTCTGTTGACATGAACAAATGTATGTGGCAGTGGCACCGCAGTACACTTGTATCATATGCACACCAAACAGTCAGTCCGTCGAACGCCAACAGGCGGTGTGAGTTCATTGAGAGCGGGCAACTGAGCAACGAGTATAACGAGTGCCACACGTGCAGCGATGGCATCAATGACGCTGTAGCGAGTGAACACAGCATCATGACATGTCATAGCAGAATGAAAGCATGTTAATTATGTTCTTTTTATTTGTTTCTAATATCGATGGCCTCCACCCTAGTAGCGATTGCTCCAATGAGCAAAGCGTGTCCAGTCAAGTACTCGCAGCGGCTCTCGCAGGCGGTGGCTGATCGGCGTGGATAAAAACCGTCGCGGTTCGGGCTCGTACGTGATTGACTTGACAAACAGTACAACCATGTCATCTAAGCAAACAGCGAGCCAAACAACGAAGAGACTGCCTCTCTGCAGCGGCTCTGTTCTTTTTTTCACAACGCTGTCAAGGCTTAGCGAGCAGCAAAAGCCATCTTCAAAGCCTGGCAACTGCACCATACTGCACCGGGCACACTTCTAAAGCGGGATTCTTGGTTGAACAACCACCTTCAAACATGCTCAAAGTAGAAGTCCGGAATGTCCTCTGCCTCTCATTGACAAATAGAAACACCCATAGAGTGAGAAGAATTTGGGGGTGAAATGGGTGGTCTCGAAAGCTTCTCCTCCAGTTCAGACTCCTTAGTCTCATGTGAGTTGGAGTTTTGGTATCTTGCGAACCAACCATTGCGCCGAAGGAGCTAAATAAGACAGGAAAAAAAAACATGAAATAACAAGAAACAAACAAAAATCATCTTTCGGGCGCACCAGTCTCCCGTCTCTTAGCTCCACAATGTTCTGCATAAATGCAAAGGTCAACATGTTCATCCTCGAATAAAACAGCGTCATTGTTGGGTCACCATGCACTTGCGACACATAACATGGGCCCCCTAAAGCATCCTCCTAAGGCACCAGGCGTGTGACATATCCCTTGGAAGGGACCGTTTCTCATCGTCGTAGCTCAGGCCCAATAATTCCTGCCGTGATAGGGGTCAACTCAAAAGCTTAAGTTTCCCTAAAAATCTAGAAACCAAATGAATACTGCGAGCGCTTCTTCAAGGAAGCATCGCCGCTAGGGCGGCGGAGGGAGCTTCCTTGAAGAAGCGTGAGCATCATAGCTAGTAGCGTCCACTTGTAGCTACTAGCTACCTAGCTTCTACTAGCTACCTCTTCGACTAGCTACCTACCTACTAGCGGCCTACCTCCCTTCAAAAAGAAACTTTATATATACTGTATATATATAACTTCTTGTTACTACAAGTGAAACAATTCCCAGAAGAGGGCAATTTCTCAAGATCTGTCTTGGCGCCTGTCTTGCAACTTCGCCCTCTTGGCCGAGCGTCTGCAGCTCCTGGAAGCGTCGTTTGGCATGTTTGCACCAACTCGGAATGTGCTCTGCGATTTTGTAAAGTTTGGAGTATAGTAGAATAAATGTAGGATGGGTGATGGGAATAGTGCCGGTTTTGGCTTTTGCCAAACTGTCGCAAACTGCTCCAAGTCACAAAACAGCACTCCTGGTCGAACCATTCAGGTCCCCGCACATGGCAAATCTCCTCAGCCCGCCTCAGAAATTCAGGTCACGATTGGGCCGAAGGAGCCCGATCGTTCACAGAGACTAGGCAAATGCGGCAGATGTTGTGTTTGGAGAAGGAACGTCAAACATGAACATGAAGGTACCATATATATATAATATTATATTATATATATTATATATATATATTATATATATTATATATATATACTATATATATATAAGACCCGAGCTTCGAGGCTACTTACTGCTCCTGAATCACACGATTCCAAAAGCCAAAAGGCAACTCTTTCAGAAAGAGCTCACAGGCACTAGTTTGCAGCGGTATGCTCGTACATGTCCGCTGGGACCACAGTCAAAACGGTGTAAGAAGCTGGCTCCGCCAACATTGGATCCGCTGTCACCAGCACTTGCCGGCGCGGGTATGGGCGCGACAGCATTTCCAGCATGTACCTACACGGCTTCAACGACATGAAGCAGTAGAGTCCTGGTAGAGCTCAAGTGTTGGGAAACCACCAACCTGGACTTAGTCTACGGTGGCCAGAAACTGGTGCATCTAGGATAATAAAATAGCAGGTGTTGTCATCCATTACCCACTGTGGATCGTATGAATAGTTTTCTTGTCCATCATGCTCCCACGCGAATACAACAAAAACTAGGCCAGCAAACAGTACAGTACAGGAACACTCCACCCTAATATACCAAGTTCATACTGGTCCCAAAACGGTGGCCACAAGGCGCACAAGACTTCGCGGTCACATCGGTAGCTCTCTGAGGCGCTCGTATCCACATAGCTGTTGGACCACCTGGCACAGGTCTAGGCGGTCTAGGCCTCTAGGCCTTCGGGCCCACAGACATTCACAGAAGGCCCATGATGCATGGAGTTTCAGTATCTGTGTGATGTGACCCCCGTACCAGGCATGAAGACAATACAGAGAACAGTTTTGGGGGATGTCCCACTATGGTTTTGGGGTCAGGGTCTTGACCGTCCTCACCGATACCGTAGTGATTCAGTGGCTTATGGGTTTTACCAGTCAACTACTATGCACTGCTATCCTGTCGTACGATCACAACAAAAAGAGATGTCAGCAAAACTTTGGAAACTGAATGGCAGTGTGTCCCAACAAAGACAGCCCCACGCTATTAAATGAACTCAGAATTCCGGAAATTTCTGGGAATTATAACTCGACTGTCCCTTTAGCTCACCTCACTCAATGTGACGCCAGGCGGTGCCATTCCCGGGTAATAACTAACAATTGATGATAGTCCATAAAGCACCCACACCTGAAGGTAGGTCTCTACAGTACAAATGTGAAAGACATCTAAAAGAAATGCACAAAAAAGAATGTGGTGCCCATCTCCACATCGTCCACTCATCCCAATCGAGCGACTTTTTGAAATCAGAATTCGGAGCAGCCAATCGATCTCTTACAAGATGCTGGCTGGTTCAGTCTTGCAAGCCCGTTGGGCAATTCTAATAAAGCGCGCATATTCGACTCGTTTTGGACCAATGATTCACCGAGGACCGAGGCCATCTGAGCGCAAGGTGGGGAACACTATTGTCTAATGTTGCAAAGGCATTGAATATCTTTGAACATCTTTGAATCATGTTGGTTGGATCAATTTCGTCGGATCCCAGATCTGCCGCAGTATCCACCGCTGTTGGCCCCGCTTTGTACAGGGAGAAGTTCTCATCAAGCAAACTGAACATCACTCGACAGTCACGTCGTGTTGCTTAGATTTTGGAGTGAAGACTTTGCACCTGACTATTCGATGTCGATTTTACTTCATTCATCTGACACAGCTTTCCAGCCAGGCTTCTCCATGAGGTGCAGGATTCTAGATTTGTGGGATCAAGCACCCTGATAATTCACAGGGAGTCTTGACAGCAGTTCTCGCACTGTAGGGATGTCTTGTCAAACAAAGATGAAACCAGAAAGTCCACTTATCGCTTCTTCATGCCCCTTCATGTTGGTTACCTTGTGTGTCAACTGATACCTCCTGCCTGCACATGATACTTACAATTGCTGCAGGTAGCCAAGTTGCAGTACCTTCGATCCACCCAATTGGAATAAGATCTGATTCTTTTTGCGAGATCCGCCAACCTGCCCAGATAGCCATACCGGGAAAAGCAAAAGCTCTTTGCAGCCTGCTTCCAGGCGCTTGGTGCATGACAGAGCGCCAAGATGAACAGGTCAACCAAGCTTTGGTACACTCCTAACAACTTGCGACATGCCCTTTTATCAATCCGTTTCGTAAAGGAAATGACGTCTGTGCTAGACATATTATGCACTCTGTACAAAGAAGACTGGAGGCTGCCGGGTAGTTTGGGTTTCAGGCTGTGGCTAAATTCTGGGTGATGAAACACAACGTCTCAGAGAATGCAATCACCAACCCGAACTTGGAATCCGATCTTGAGTGACAAAGTGGTGTTGACCAAAGCCTGATCAACCTGAACCGCGGTCATTCTTGCTCTGCACTTGTTGCGTTGCTGCGACAGGTGCGCAGATATTCGCAGATATTCGCAAATCATTTGTCCGTCATTGTGGCTACAGCAGTCCATTCTGCCAATTCCTCCGAAAACACATCTCAAGGCAGATCCCTCGGTTTCAACTATCAGGCCTCAAACCAGCTCTCCCTCTCTCTCTCACCAATCCCCAAATGCACAGGTGGTGAGGGGGAATGAAATGTTCATGCAAAAGGAGGACCTATCTTACTAAAGGAACAAACATCAGTTTAGTCAACCCTCTCCATCGGTCTCCTGCATCTTTTCGGGGTCGGCACCTTCAGCCTAGCGGCGCAACCAGCCAGGTAAACCGGAATGCAAAGCTGAAGCAGCTTGTCCATCAGTGCAAACCACAGGCATCCTTCTCACATACGACTAGTGCTAACTGGTACGGCACGCAGTTGCGCAGACCAGTCAAACCTTGCCTTCAAGTATGCAGATAGTATCATGATGTATCATGTATCATATGTCACAAAACTGTTCATGCAATGCCACCAGATCCGCAAGTACGTATCCAGCAAGCAGTTCATGAGAACCTCATAGAAGAGACTGACCTGCCAGCAGCCGCCCACCTTCAAAGCCATACTTGCAGAGCGCCTCAAGTAGTGGCCGTCCAGTCATAGGCACATCAAGGACCATCAATCATATGACCCAAGTGTGGTGGTGGTGTGAATGTCAGACCTCTGCAAAGTGAGGAGCCAACACTGAATTCATTGCCAGAGCACATCCAGGCCCCCCGTGGGCCCCCCTGGGCCCCCAGTCTTCAGAAGACGTTGAGCTGCGACATCCTCAGGACGCTCCTGGCAGTCTGTTTGACCAGAACTTAACCTAGCTGGTCTGGGAGCCGGTGAGCGTGCCAAAAGGGGTGGTAAGCTGAGGCGAGATGAGATGATAAGACCATTACGACACGTTGCCGCTGATGGTGAGAGATGACATGAAAGAAAACCAAATGAAGGCAAGGATGAGGTAATAGATGGTAATAGACTGAGAAAACAGTGAGGTGCGGATACCCCACCCCACACACTTGCAGACGTCCCCCACATGAAAATACTCCGACAAAGGAGCTATGAGTGAGCTCAAGCTGAGAATTGGTAACAGTTTGAAGCGAGACCATCCTTTGCCTTCTGTGTGATGGAAAGTCGTTTGGTCCTGAAATGTGCTGAAGAAATATAGTTGTGCTGTAAGTAAACAGCCAGGAAACGGTACGTCTCAAAGCTTCTGTCAAAACACCTACAGTCACAATGCTCACCTAGACATAGAACCGGGTACCTGTTCGACCCACAAACAGCTCCACAAGCAATCGCCTCCAGCAGTTGACTGGCCAAATGTACGGCCTGTCACAAATTGAACAAGGCCCTTGTTCCACCCACGTCTGATTTCGAAGCACGTTTGCATCAGCGCCACTGCGTTTTCAAACTGCACTCCATGGAAGAAGAAATCACGATTCTTTTCTTGCATGAAAAACCTGGAAACGTCATGAAACATTGTTTGGGTCAGTCCCTGGAACTTGTGATTTACACCATGTCGACCAATTGCACGTGCCCCACCTCTGAGAAGTCTCGCTTCGCATAGGCAGTCCAGGCTTCTTCATACAGCTGTGCCTGAAGCTGGAGCCAAATAGGTTGGAGGTCATCAGGTTGGAGGCCATCGCTATTAGGTGCATATTTTTCTCTATGTTATTTCTAAGCAAAAGCGGCTGAAAAGGAAGTATCCTGAAGCCCCTTGCCACACCTGCAAAGCGTTCATGCTGACCCTTGTGTAGTCAGAACTCGGACCATTGATGGGCCTTTGTTCAATACACCAGCCAACAGTTGACCAAAGCTTGGTTTGATCAGCACATGAATAGGTCAATTTTCACCCAAACTCATCAGAGTCATCGCAGTCATCGCAGTCATTGTGTGGGCTCAAGCGCTTGCAACCATGACCTTTGGACCTAGTGTTGCCGCTTCATATGGTCAGCAAGCAACAATGAGTTGTTTCGAATCTCATGCGAGCAAGCTGTGGTAGGTATTACTATATTGATTACTTACGTTTACTTATATACTTATATAATTGATCATTCCAGTCAAGCTGCTTTGCCTCACGACCAGTTGGACTACAGTACCCATCCCTGCCCAATCCCCTTCAGTTGGCATCGTTATGGCCTGCGTGATGCGGTTCACTGGGACTGGCTCCCAAGCCATGACATCTGGAGTGGTGCCAATCTTATGCCTGAGAGGTGAAACCTTCAGGAAACCTTTCAACTGAACCCTTCAGGGAAATCCAGCCATGAATCTGTAGACTCGAGATTCAAGATGCTCACAGAATCTCAGGTTGGGTATGGCAAGTTCGGTGAGGTGCTGGAATCTGGATACCAGCCAGCTATTGAGCTTTGAGTTAAATGGTCACTCAATAATTGCGATTGGAGGGCCTAGGCCTATGGCACTTATCTTGTGCTTGGAAACTGTCGGCTGTCGTCTGTTCGTGACTTTGCTGCTTCGGTCCAACATCCCAAGGCTCTGGGATTCACACCTGAGCTTTCTGGGAGAAACGCATGGACCCGACAAGAGCGTGGGCCTGATCCGAGGATGGTTGCTCTCGCCCGATGCGTCCCGTCTCCAGGGAAAAGGTGGAAAGGACACATTTGCTACCTTCAAAACAATTTGCGCTTCACCTTGTCATCTCCTCAAAAACGGTCCATCCAAGGACAGCCAAAGGCATTTTCACATGGGCCGGCTTTTCCTCAACAATCCAGCAACTGTCTATAAGCTTTCTGGATTTGTTGCGAGACCTCACTCCAATTCAACGGTCCTCCAGCTTTGCTGTGATCGTTAGCACACCTCCTTCACAACTCACAAAAGCAAGCCACCTGAACATACCTCCTCCCCACTCCAGCGAGGCCTGCTCACAGGAAGGATGGGCTGCTTGGTGTTGATGGGTAGCTTGTCGCCTGCCTGTGGGCCCCATGTCAAGCAAAGGACATTCAGCAAGGTTCTGGCTGAGGGGGGGCCTATCGCTTTAGCAGGTTTTAGCCCAAGTTCTGGAATTCACGCCCGCTCTTTGCGAAATTGGTCATCGCACGTTTTGGTGGTTGCCCATGTGTGATGTAAGGTGTGAATGGAACTCGACAACTTGGGTGCCCAGGAGAGAAACTAACTCAACACCTATCTGAATTGCTTGATGAGACCTTTGTAGCAAGAGTTGTAGTCAACAGGTACATGACCATGAAAAGCTGAGAGATCGTGTGACAAAAAAATAACCTGCCTTGCTGCCACGCAAGTCTCGGCCAATCACCTCTCAAGGTGTACAATGTTTGGCGCCTTATGCTGTTGCTACAATAAGATTCCCCGCAAACAGAATCCAAAGGATAAGCATGATTAGCAGAAGCTTCCTGCACATTCCACCCGCTGGAAAGGAATGTTTGGCGACCAATGAGCCAGGAGCTGCGATTATTCTTCTCAAGTGTTGATTCGGTTCTCTTTTCCAAGCTCGACATGTGCCCGCCTTCAAACAATCTTGAAGCAGCAAATCTGCCAATTCTCATGATGTACAGGCGAGAAATGGCGAAGCATGATTTCACACATCAGGAGACAAGCTATGAATCTGTGCCTCGTATATTACCGTAGGTTCCTTCTTGCCCTTCACCTGAAGTCGGACTCAAGAAATGGGCGACTCCAATGACTGCAACTAACGAGCTATGCTCAATGCAAAGTTCTTTGTGAACAAAAAAATCCAGTAGAGGGCATCAAGTTGATCCAAAATGTCTCCTCTTCAACTTCTCCACTCCAAGTCATCCGCTTGCACGAGGTCCAGCTTTCGGCAAACGAAGCCATCACCCTCAGCACCAATCAGCCCGTGTCGAATCGAGGTAAGAATTTATTGAACATGCTGACGATGATCGACGGGACAAAACCATACGATTACCGTTGATTAGGTACTGGACGCTCCTAGGTAGGACGCAGGATAGCTCACGCTTCTTCACCTTGAAGAAGCGCTCTCACTAATCATTTGGTTCCTAGCTTTTTGGGGAAACTTAACTCCAACTATACATTTCATATATTATATACTGTATATGATTCCATATTCAGTAGATCTGTACGGTTCGTATATCTATTCATCTCGATCTTCCCTGTTCATTGCAAGCACCTACAGGTTCAGCTTGAGAAATCTGGCTGCCTCACGCTTACTTGATCTTTTCTCACTCTCATCACGCTGAAGCATTCATGCTTGCTGCTGCATCGAGAATTTCAGAACACAGAGTCCAGCTCCCCGGAGTCTTAGCAAGCAGCTGGTGGCAAACGATCCTTTGTAGCTGCAGAGCACAGCACCCCGACCTGAGATTCAACTGAAGGTCATGGACTTGGATGATCTACATTTCGGAGTACTTCTTTGAGCACGACCTCTCTCTCTCTCTCTGAAGAGAAGCGAAAGTCCAAAAATGGAAGGAACTGTTTCTGTGGTTTATATGTTCGGACAGGCCTGCCAACCACTTGCCACTTGAGCTTCCAGCACCATAGGTCTTGCAAAGGCCTTCCAAGCGGCTAGCCTTGTCGAAACTTGTGACATCAGACTGTGACACAGGATAGCGAGTGGGGAGGTTTAGACGTTTGAGTCCCTTCAAACGACAGTCCCCTCCAATGATTCAAACAAACCAAGCCTTTGTGGCCAGCTGAGGTTGCTGCGAGATTCACGGGATCACCCATACAGCCAAACTTCATCTTGCCCGAGAGGCATCCGATGTTCCCAGTGAGCACTTCCTTAGCGTAAGGCGACTGTCAGGTTTCCTCAACAAGCACCAAAAGCACCAACGCCCTCAGCCACATATAAAAGGGCGTGCGAGGGGCAAATCAAGTGGCCCTTGGAAAAATCTAAATGTTTATGAAACTCCCTGTTGCCCAATGGTAGTTTGTGGTGGGCAATAGTGGGTGGTGGTGCTGATGGTGGGTGTGTGTGTGTGTGTTGGTGATGGCCTGGTCTGCTCAGTATTTGCCGCCTGGTTCAAACGCAAGTCATCGAAGCCTCTGCTCCAAGTCTGCGATGGAAAAGACTTCCAGAGTCTCCCATTGAAGACTTGCCTTCTAGACGTATGTTGGGCCTCCCAGCCCCAGTGTGAATGCCGATGCGGATGGCCAAAGGCGGCAAGCCCAGCTTTTGAAACTCTTCGTTCAAAGGGCCCAATGCCTCGAGAAGTCAGGCACTTGGCACATCAATTGATCCCAAAGGTATTAGAAGCTGTAAGCCCCTTAACCACCTTACAACCGGGACAGGCGCAATTGAGGAAGTTCTTTGGATTTTAGGATGCTCTGTGCAGGAGCTGGACGTCCAGTAATGTATATAATATATATATATATACATACATACGTGGTATAATTGTGGGCCTTCGATGTCAATGTCATCCATGTTCAACCTCATATTACAAAAAAAAGAAAAAATAAATGGTAAGACATGCAATTCAATGTTCTGCCCAGGCCCTATACTCAACAATCGTGTGCTACAATCCGACAGACATGTAGAGTCCAGCAACAACCTTATGAATCACAGACCTCTCCGCACTCCTCCAAATCCCACCCACTTCTGCTCCATGAAGACGCCTGCTGCTGAGAAAGGGCAGCTGCGCAAGCTTTTGCCGCATGATCTTCCACATCCTGGCACTCAATAGGCACAGCAGCCCCAAGGCATCATGGATCTCATAGCTCCACTGGCATAACGACCAAAAACTGCAAAGGTTTCCACATGGCTGATCTGTTCAGAGCTTTGTTTGAATCTTTGCCAACCCCAGCTGACGACATGCCCGGCAGCACGTCTGGAGTGTTCCAAAAGGCCAGAATCCCATCGCCGAGGATTTCGCCCACAACCCCTTCAAAGGACCTGAGCTGAAGAACCAGGACCTAGGACGCTACTAGGAGCAAAGGGCATCGCTACTAGGAGCAAGGACGCTACTAGGGCCTCCTGGCCTTACTACTAGGAGCAAGGACGCTACTAGGTGTTGTTTCTGAGCCTTCTTGGAGGTGGATCATCTCAGCATCCCATACACTGATTCTGATCATGCATGGCAACGTATATGAAAAAACATCGTCCAATCGTATTGTTTTTTAGTAATAATAACAATAAGAATAAGAAAACAATAGCATTAAAAAAAAAAAATATAAATAAATAAATAACATACACCAAGCCAGCAACAACGCATTTGCAAGAATGGGCTGGATTTTCTGGCACACCAGCCATGGAATAGCTCTGGCCATCGGAGTCTTAGGCTCTGACTCAATGATGCGCGTCATCACTGAGAGATACACCGTCAGGAGCAGAATGAGGTCGTCTTGCACCAGCTCTTCAGAGATGCTGGTAAAATCCTTGGTTACTAGTAGCGATGCCAGGAGCTACTACGTAGTAGCGTCCTTGCTCCCAGTAGCGATGCCCTCGTTACTGGTAAAATCCTTGGAGGATGTCTGTCTACTACTAGCAGCTCCTGGCCTTACTACTAGGAACAAGAAGCTACTAGTAAGAAAGGGCATCGCTCCCTACCCCTCTTGGGCCAAATAATTTAGACAACTAAATTTAAGTCAGGACTGATACAGGATTGTCTGCTGATGGTGCATTGTCCCACAAAACAACTCAAACGGCTTGCACCGCTTGCCCTAATCCATTCTTGGAAGGTGGGCTTGGGTCTAGCCGCGCCCCCCAGCCCAGCATGCAAATTCCTTGTTTTGGGTGCTGTTCAGACACAAGCTCACCAGGCTGGGATCAAGATTGGGGCTTCCGGTGATGGCATGTGCCGTATGAATGGAACTTGCCAGCCCACAGCACCATCAGACCCTGCAGCGCCCCTGTTGTGCAAGATACACGCACGTCGGAGAACATGATAGAAACCTGAGAGAGAACGTGGCTTTTGAAGAGTACCATTCCCAGCAGCTCCTGGTTTTGCACTCAAAACTATCGGATACTATCGGTCTGCAAGCCTCAACTCCTCTCCAGTCACAGAATAGATGTTACAACCTATTTCATGGCCTTTACACTGGGGCCACCCATTGAATCTGTGTCTGGCCTTTGATCAACCAAAAGCATCGGAATCCCTGGCCTCTTTCCGCGACACATGCAGGCCTTATTGAGAGCCGGTAGCCAGGTGTGTGAATGGCTATGGTCATGTTCCATTCGTAGGTTCATTCATGCTCTTCAAATTCAGAGTGTTAATGTTCTTCTGAGGAGCGAGGATGACATCCAACCAAAAGTCTTCGAAGCACTTCTGGGTACAGTACTGGTACTTACGTATGATAAAAGTTTATATAAATGGTTGTCAAGTGGTTTTCTGGGCCTCGAACGTGAGGCCTTCGGATCACCACTGATGAGTCGACGCACCACCGAGTCAGGAACAAAGCGGGCGAAGGTCTGAGCGGCTCAGCGATGCAAAAGGTTTGAGTTGCATGTTACACCAAGGTTCGGGCTGCTCTGTCTGTTCTGTTCTCTCTTTTTTGCTTTTAGACCGTAAAAGCCACAGGATTCAAATCCAACATGGAGCGTGCAACTTGCCCGTCGCCTCAATGGAGTGCGAGAGGCGGCAAAAGCCATGAGACCTGAAGACCCAACGAGACACCGTGAGACACACACAAAGGCCAAGGAAAATACGCTTCATGAAACTTCAAAGAAACGTGTCATTAAACTCATGCGACCAAGAGGAGTTCTAGTCTTGATTGGCTAAGCCTCTTCAGCACGGTAATCCCGCGAAGCCAAGGCCGCCACAGCTCATTAATTTCCAGGATTCGCCCAGCTTGGCCATCTTGCATCTTTCGGTACCTGACCAAAGAACTGACCTTATCACATACAGTATGTCACTACTACTTGTTTTGTTTTCTTTCTCCCGGGGGGGTAGGCCGCTAGAGGTAGGTTAGCTAGGGAGTCGGTAGCTAGTAGGGAGAGGTAGCTACTGCCTACAAGTAGCCACTACTTAGGACGCAGGATAGCTCAAACTTCTTCGAGGAATCTCCCCCCGCTTGAATGAAGAAGCCCTCGCACTAATGATTTGGTTTCTAGATGTTTAGGGAAACTTAACTAGTAACAAGAAGCCACTAGGGGCTCCTGGCCTTACTACTAGGAGCAAGGACGCTACTAGGGGCTCCTGGTCATACTACTAGTAACAAGGAGCTACTAGTATGCCTATTGAGACGTATTGAGACTATACTCACTACTACTCGCCCGGTCTCCCACATCTGGCAGATAGTGCGCACTCCACGGAGTCATGAGCAAAGTCCAGCTGGGTGAGCCTGGATGGGCAGTTGTAATTGCACAGACCAGAGCAGCTGATGTTTCCATCATTGAAGTACATGAGATTGTCCACAAGATTTACATATGTTGGGTTTGGGACACCCCGGGACAATTCGAGAAACGTAGGATACCTCCACACTCCAAACTTCTGTCGCACTTTTGAAGCCTCCTTACTGTTTGCCTTGACAGCAAAAAGCAACTGACCAACGGCAAGCTGAACCACAACTAAACTACAGGAACTGATGCAGGTGTGGGGTGCAATCCCGCCTGCGCATCAACAAGCTGAGGCGACTGAGCGGTCTCAAGACCAAAATGCTTGTGACTCGGCGGCACAAGGACTGGAGCACTGATGGACTGTTGAGCATAATTCTAGGAACAAAAAGCTGCTAGGGGCTCCTGGCATCGCTACTGGGAACAAGGACGCTACTACTGAGTCCTTCGCAACAGCCCAGAAATAGAATCCTGAAATGGCTTCCCTTAAGGTTCCCTGAGGCGTGTAACACCTCTAGGGTCTAGCAGCTTCAGCAATCTGTCACTTCCCACCTTCCTTCACTGACTCAGCTGTCGTTCTCCTATACCGAGATAACCAACTAAAACTCCTTTGGTTCCAACTGATTCAGTCTCACCCATTGGGTCCACTGGGTCTCTTGCCAAGACCCATGACCAAAACCATGGCCTGGGCAGCACAGGCCAGGAGTGTCTCGATCGTAAAGCTGACAGCAATTGATGGATCCAGAGTGAGCCAGTGGCAAAAGAAAACAACACGTGAGCTGGCTGATACATTTAAGGCCTGACTCCGTTTTGCCAGGTGTTACAACTGCATCGTGTTGTCGTATGTATCTATCTATACATTGTCTGTGCCTCTCTTCAGACCTGGCTTTGTGCAGTGAAAAGGCCTCTGCCGCATGCCCATCCCATGGATTGTCCCAGCCGAGAAGCCGCAGCCAAAATGCCCAAAAAGCCGCACTCAATCAGAGTGTCCCTGGCATATGGTGTGGTGCCCAAGCATGATTAGATGATTTGTGTCCAAAAGTCCAGCTGAGGCACAAGTCACAAGAGTCAACTATTCATCACGGCATTGGACTCAAACGCCCAAGAGCAGTCAGTACCTATCCTTCGCTTCCTATCCCTCACCCGTCCACTTAGATGGCCTCTGCTTTTGGTGCGCCTCCATCTGCTCAGTCTTCACCTTCACAAGTCAAACAGCGTACAGTTGCAGGACTGTGTTGAATGCGAGGAATGATGTCAAACTCACTTTGTCATCCAATCGGAGAGTGCCATTCAGAATGTATGAGCTGAAGTCATCAGAAGACATCCTTGAGTTCTTGATGTCTGAAGACATGAAACATGCGCCTGCATTTCCACAGCTATGGCCTGCGCGTGCGTTTCCAAAGCGACTCCAAGATTGGTTCAAAAGAACTAGTTCTTCAGTATGCCCAATGAAGCCAGAAAAACGCCTAGTGGTGGAGGTGGACCATACGCGTGGAGATCCCAATCTTCAAAAGGAGCCGGGAGAGCTCATTCTTCACTCATCCTCTAAGACTCTAAGATGTTCTAAGCCCTTGCTTTGGAGCGCTTTATGTGTCTGCGCTTTTGAGCGACCAACGAGATTCACTGTCATTGCGTGCAATTTAGACAAAAAAAATAAAAGGGAGTTGGTGGACACCAGGCAACGGATATCCCCAAATATCTCCAAGAGAGGGAATCTTCCCCAAACCAACGGATTTCATAGCCCGCTGGCGCAGCCTCATCCACGTAAAACTTGCTGAAAGCCTTGATCCAGCAGGGACAGGCTTTGGTATCAAGAGCAAAGTCAAATCGTCTCGTTCGAGTGAGGTGATAGATTAAGCTTTGTGAAATCGATTGGAAAGCCATTGCGCCACATCATACCGTCTATGGCAGCTTCAATCATACATCTTTGGAACCGTTCAGCGATGTGGAATTGTCAAAAGGCTGCGTGTTCCAATCTGAATCGCTGATTGTCCTCCCCAAACCATGTAGCACAAAGGCAACGGAACACACAAAGCCAATCCAACCATCCGATTGCTTGACAAGACCTGTGTTCACACAAGACTCAGAACTGGATCGGTTCTGGGATCATCACAGCTGCAGGCAGTGAAGCCACAACTAGCCTCAGCATGGAGACAACTAGCCACATCCTCATCTTCTTGCACGGCTTCCTTTTAGTCTTCAAACACACTCAGCTCGCCTTCACACGACAGGGTACCCGACTAGTAGTTCTACGTTGCTTGGATATAAGTGTTGAGTCACACTGATGCTCTTCAATAGTAAATGGATATCCATACCATACCTCGCTTCCCAAACACACCCTCTTCACCAGTACCATGTGCATTGAACTTTGTCCTTTTGGATCCTTTTGGATGGAATGTTTGAGAGCAGATTGCAAGCCTCCTCCCTCCACCAAGTGCACCATGGAAAACCGCTGTACACTTCTGTTTCCCTGTCAATCTTGCTGTTCAGCAGCCATTGCAAGGAGTCATCCAAGAAAATGGTGTGAGTCGTTGCCTTCCAGCAATTGAGTCTCGGTCAACTTCAAGCATTCGTCTTCCATGGAGTTCATCTTGTGCTTCAGAGTGCATCAATCCATCGTACTAGGAACGATTCAACAAGCACGTGTCCACCAAATACGCGTTTGCCACTGAGCCTGGAAGCAGTTGACTTCCCAGTCTCTGTCTTCGGGCTTTCCCTTGGTGTCTACCAAAGGATGACACTCTGTCCAGCGTCCCTGGCACACGGGCAGGGGATGGATGGCGTGTCTGCGTCGCCGGCCGACCAATGCCAGGGGTCCAACAGTTCAACAAAATCTGCAATCTTGAGTTTGTTTGACTTGCTCTTACTCTTCGCTGTCTTTGGCCAAAAACATGCAGCCCAGAGCTTCACTCTTGCAACATGCATGCAGCTGTGTGTCAACAAACAGGGTGCCTCCTGCGCATCCCTTAAGGAGAAGTGGAAGGATTGGTCCTTTCCCCTCCTGTGCCAGCGCAATAGTGACAGTGATCAACTTTGTCAACCGTCTTGGAAAACGATTCCGGCAAACTGTTTACTTTTGTAGCTTGGACTGTCTGGCAAGTGCTCAATTTTGAAAAAGGGCCAGTCCGGTGGTGAGTTCTGCTATAGACCTGGTTGGAAAACCATGTCACAAGCTGCAACGGGCTCAAGTGCCAAACATTCAAATCAACATACAGTATTGGCATCTTGCAAAAGGTTGTTTAAATGTTTAGGCTCTTTGTCTGTTGCTCAGCAAGTTTCAGAGGTTAAGAGAACCCTTCGTCTGCTCCTGGTGAGTTCCGTGGCATTCCACGCACCAAAGCGATGCAGCACTGCCTGGCCCGGAGCTCTGATGCAACAAGTGCTCTCTCTGGGCAAGTTGGACTCAAAAAATTACAAGAGAATGGGGCGATCCCACAAGAAAAATGTCACGTTCAATGGCATGTTGTCGAGTATTCATAGAATTTCATAGATTCGTGAAGCTGATACAGTGGCGGTCTGTCCGTCCGATCCATCCGCATCTCCCCACCTTCGCAGTGGCTGATACGATCTTGGAGGGCGACTCTGAAGCCTCATGAAGCGGATGGCTGACACAACTTCAGTCAACCTCTTGGTGAAACAGAATTTCCCAATAGTTTCTGGCCCATGCTCCCATGTGAGCGAAAGGAATGATGCCTCTGCTCAGATTCTTGTGGTCCTTCGACCAACCACAGAACACAATTTCAAAAGCCAAGGGCTAAGGGCTGGACATGGACTAATTGCCCTTCCACCAATGCTGAGCTGAAGTCCGATGCACCAATCTGCCAAAAGAGGAAAGGTTCACAGAAAGGTTCACATCAGAGTTATCGGTCTGAAAACTGACGAACCTTCCATCAAACCTCAAATATGGGTTTTGAAGATACCCTGTCAGCATCCATAAACAAGCCCGAGTGACCAGCAAGCCCTCCTGATCTGGAAACATGGGCGCCAACTGCTTCACGATGAAAATGCTGGAGTCTGGCACATGGAGGGGTCAGGTCCAGGACTTGGAGATTCTCGTCAACCAGCCAGCTGGTCACTGTTTTTTGGGAACCAGGATGTTGCGAATCCGATCACTCCAAAGCTTCAATCACAAAAAAGTGTTGGCCGTGCATTAGTCTGTCAGTCTGATTCTGTTTCTGATGAGGCCAACTTTAATCTGCATCTTGTATACAAGTACCATATATCAATTGGGACAGGATGCCTAGCTTTCTGAACTGAAAAGTCGGCATGTTGAAGGTCTGACTACAAACAGGTCTTTGTGTAAAAGAGTGTCCAAGAACACAAAGCCTTTCTGTCATGACTCTCAACCTTGTCCTTCATGACGTCATATATCGCTGATATCCAAGTGCAGTGAACTGCATTGACCAAAGAAGTCTCAGGTGACACGGTGACACCTAGGAGTCAGTCGCTATATGAGTTGTGAGGGCCACCAATATCCTCCACCACAAGTCCCAAACCAAAAGTCCCTGAGCATCCCCACTTTGACTCGAAAGCTCAAAATTCCACGGCGCTCCGCGAAGGTTGCTTCGTAGCCCAAACCAGGCCTGTGCCGAGGTGTGTCGCTTGGCAAGGCTTGAGGTACTTCATCACACCGGCGATACTGAGCACCGCGCCAAGGCAAGTTCGTAGCTCACGAGATTCAGAGTGGTATCTGCGGCCTATCAAGAAGGAAAGCTCACCTCCTCCACAAACTAAGTGGTAAACATGGTACGATATTGTACCTGCAGTACCACAAGGCATCTAAGCCAAGGAATCCGGGGTCCTTGAAACCCTGGCTCCATGAGACAGGTTCCATCAAACTCACACAAATCATCCAAATGCGACGCTGAAACCATCCCTATGAGGCTCGAGCCACCACTCCATCTACACAGGAATAGTTTCCGCAAATCGCCAGCGGAGTGGTCCTTGATGAAAGAACACACTGGACGTGCACTGTGATGCACTACCAATTCTCAAGGGTTGCGAATATATTTCTGATTTTTTTTCGGTTTTTTTTGATGTTTTTTGTTTTTCGTGTTTCGTGGCAGGTGCAGTACTTTGTGGACCTTGCAAAGCACATTTCGTGGCAGGTGCAGGACTTTGTGGGCCTTGGAGTGCAGAGTTTGTGGAGGACTTTTTGTGGGCCTTGAAGTGCAGATTTCGTGGCAGGTGTAATACTTTGTGGCCCTTGGAGTGCAGATTTTGTGGCAGGCGCAGGACTTTGTGGACCTTGAAGTGCAGATTTCGTGGCAGATGCAGGACTTTGTGGGTGTGGAAGTGTAGAGTTGGTGGCAGGTGCAGGACTTTGTGGGCCTTGGAGCGCAGATTTCGTGGCAGGCGCAAGACTTTGTGGACCTTGAACTGCAGATTTCGTGGCAGGTGCAGTACGTTGTGGATGTTGAACTGCAGAAAGATAGAAAGATAGAAAGATAAATGGATAGATAGATAGATTAGATCAGATCAGACCAGGTCAGATCAGATCAGATTAGATTAGATAGATAGATAGAGGATGCATATTTGCTTGGTTAGAAAGTTTTTGCACCGGGGAGTTCACCTTAAAATATTGATTTCGTGGCAGGCGCAGGTGTCGGGGATGAAGTGCAGATTTCGTGGCGCGGGGGGGGTTGGGGGGGGGCGCAGCGCCCACCCCAGCAGCACACCAGATCCAAAGGTGAGCAGCTCGTGCTTGCTTGCTTGCTTGCTTGCTTGCTTGCTTGCTTCCTTGTTTGGTTTCGTCTCTGCAACGAAAACAACAGGAAAAGCAAATACAAAAAGAGAAAGGAGAACAGCTGCCAAAAGAAAGGAAGATACAGTAGATAGATAGATAAATAAATAGGTATAGACAGATAGATGGATAGGCCAAAAAGCCAAAAGCCACAAAAGCCAAAAGCCACAGAAGCCACGAAAGCCAAAAGCCACAAAAGCCAGAAGCCACAGAAGCCAAAAGCCACAAGAGCCAGAAACAAAGAATTGAGCTGCATCGCATCGTCCAAAGAAGGCGTGTCTCTCGCGAAAACGTGCCGCGGTGAAAACACTGGTGGCCAATCAACCCAAAGTTCTATCGTGTTCTGGTGTTCATGTCGCACAACTCACGCTGCCACCGAGAACGGCATCTGGATAAAAAAAAAGATCTCTAAAAAGGACAATGCCCTCAAAACCATGAACATGCTTCCTTCCTTCCTTCCTGCCTGCCTTCCTTCCTGCCTTCCTTCCTTCCTGCCTTCCTTCCTTCCTGCCTTCCTTCCTGCCTTCCTGCCTGCCTTCCTTCCTGCCTTCCTTCCTTCCTGCCTTTCTTCCTTCCTTCCTTCCTTCCTTCCTTCCTTCCTTCCTAGCAGCACCGCTTTGAAGCAAGGGAAGCCAAAAAAAAGCCACAAAAGCCAAAAGCCAAGAGAAGCCACCAAAGGCCAACAAAGAAACAAAAGCCAAAAGCCACCAAAAGCCAAAAGCCAAGAGAAGCCACCAAGGGCCAACAAAGAAACAAAAGCCAAAAGCCACCAAAAGCCAACAAAGAAACAAAAGCCAAAAGCCACCAAAAGCCAACAGCCACCAGCAAAAACAAAAAATCCAAAAAGAAAACAAAAAATCCAAAAATAAATACACCTCCATTCTCAAGTGTCTTCAACTGTCTACGTTTGAGTTGGTGCGCAACAGAAGAAGTTCTCCTCCAGCAATCAAGTTGAAACTCTTTTGACACGTTTGAGTCGTTAGGAGCATTGTCACACACGGTGCATGTCAGGAACGAATTTCTTCCCACTTCTTCTTGGCAGCAGGCACAGTCATCTTCAGTCTGCTGGCAACAACTGCCCAAACATACTTCGCTTTTTTGTTCTTTTTCATAGACCGTAGAGTTTCCACCTGCTCTGGTGTCCACTCTGGAAGCTCAAGCACTTCTGGGCTCGCTGCCCGAGCTCGCTTTGGCCTGGATGCCCTGGAGGCTGACGCTCTTCCGTCAGGCCTGCGACCGGCTGGGGGAGCATGGCGCCCTGCTTCGTCCTCAACTTGCAGTCCTTGAGCTGCCATGCTTGCAAGAGCTTCAAAGTTGGGCTGCATGGGTTCTTGGAAGTTAGCCGGAGGCAATCGGAAGCCCAGCTCTTGGAGAAATGCCCTTGCCAATGCTGGAGTTTCGTCGTACGATCTTCCCAAACTAAACAGCACAATGGCGTACCGTCGGCCTACAAAAGGCAATGTGCAGTGCACAAGGTTTCCATCGAACTGCTGCAGGTTGTGGATGTCCAGCTTGACGCCTTGCAGCGTGTCACCAGACTTCCCAATGCCCTCAATGTCTTCGGTCAATGTGAAATAGTCTTTACCGTGTTGATCTTGGACAAAGGTTTCTCCTCCACTCCAATTCCCCAATCCAAAAATGCCACTTGGGCCCCTGTTGTTGACATCCTTGTGAGGTTTCGTCATCAGGTCCTTTGTCAACTGGATTGTTGTTGCATGGAGGTCGAACCCTAGTCGCTCTGCATATTGTAGGATCTTCATGGACAGCTTGCGAAAGCGATATGTGTCCATTGTAGGCATCGGTATGCCTCTCCAATGGGCACCAACCACAAGTCCCAATGTCTTCTGAAAGGTCTTCTTGCAGCCAGCGGGTCTGACATTGTGTCGGGAGGTGTTCTCCCATTCCTTATCAGGAATTTTGTCCAAATGGGCCAGGAGATCTCTCTTTAGCTCTTCCGTGGATATGTCCGGTGGGGGAGCTGGGAATCGTACTCGGACATCTGTGTGGAGCATAACGCCATCTGCGATCGTGCGAACCGCTTCCCCAAACGGCCACGGTTCTCTGGGAGTAGCAGTCTTTCTTGAGAAGCCTGAGTATTCGGCGCTGGCTGCGTGAGTTCGCTCAAATCCCAGCTGCCCATGACGGCCTGTGCGGCAGAACCCTCGTCGGCTTCATCTTCGGTGTCCATGACTCGGTGAAAAATCTCGAGCTCCACAGGGTCAGGCGAATAATCCTCGAAGAGCTCTTCTGATTTCAGCTGCACTTTATCTTCGTCTTTGACGGTCTCCAGTAGAACTTCCTCAGCTTCACATGGCTCCAGGTCCTCATCGAGCTGCGTCGGATCCAGATCAATCGCCTCCCGAGTGAGATCTAGGGCTTCAGCAGCTTCGGTCACAGGACCGCAGACTTCGACATCTTTGAGATCTTTCATCATTCTGACAATCAATTTCTGCTGGGATCGCCATTCATTCATGGCGCTCTAGATGTCAGCATACAAGCCTTCCAAACGAAGGCTTAACCTCCCTGCCGTCTGCATTGCTTCATCTAGCTTGCCCAAATGAGCACATAGGCTTGTTGCCATGGCAGCTGCTAGGAGGTGCTGAGTGCCAACAAGTGGAGATGACATGACTCACATGACCAGTCCTGCAAAACACGGCCTCATACGCAGCTTCTATTGTGCAGGTGATTCCCACTTTTGTTGCAACCAAGCAGTTGGTTTGTTTTGTGTTTCAAAGTGTCTTCTTCTGATGTTATATACAATAGGATATGGTTGAATGATGTTGTTGAATGGCTCCCAGGCCTATTTTTGACCCCAAATTCTCACACACACATACGCTGCTTCGTCACTGTGGGTGAACTGCCCTGTATCAGGTCTTGAAATTTACATGCGAAATCAGTCAGTTGATGTTGAATGCCAGTCCAGGAGAGCGCAAGTTGCCCTCCAGTCTTGGCGTTCTCCTCAGTCCAAAGTTCATGTGGCAGACAACCTTTGGTTTCTGTATGCACTGTAGTCTTTTTCAAAAGCACTGCACGTCATTTCCCGGATTTGCCTGTCTTACCGAGTACTGACTCTAAGCTCCCCAACACCTTCCCACCACGGATGGAAGAGGTAGACCGGAGACCACATCTTTTTCAGCTTCCCCTGCCAATCGGCGAACCGTTGTGTTTATGCCGGGGGGCAAGCACTGTGTCACCATACCATGTTCGGCCATAAATCCACTCAAGCATTACTTGCGAACAAGGATGAAAGGTGGATTGACATGACAGGCAACGGATGGTGAGGTCTGACCACCCAATGAAATCAGCATGAAAAGCCTGAACAAGAGCGCTGCAAAGGTGAACGAAGCATATAAAGCAAGCGCAAACTCCCTCAAGTCAAGTCCAACTACTGTAACGTATATATTCATAGGTTGCATTATCATCTCCATCTTCACTCAATTGGGTTCCAATTTACGCTCGCACCTCGCCCTTGCTTGGATCATCTTGGCCGAGCGTTCAGCGGAGAGTGGAGGACTTGAGAACGCCACTTGAGAAGAACAACAAAATATCACAATACACCCAATATACTGATTCTCTATCTGATAGAAGCTCTCCTCTTCTACATCGCCACTCCATTTCTGCATTGGGGTCATCGCCATCACATCTGCTTATCATGATCAAACCTGTCATTGTGAAAGCAAGTCATCTACTGTATATAACTGTGGGACAGCACAAACATCTTTTCCACATTGTCATCTTGCCGAGCGATCTGGAACCTAATCCAGGTATATAAAGCAAATTGAATTGTCTGTCGCACACCAAAGAGTGAAGCATACTTGGAGCCACTTTTGCTTTTCATAGATACAAGGAATTTGTCTCCGCAGCCGCGTTGCAACGTCTGTCATCTGGGCGCCCCAGACTAGTGGCACTTGCCAACATTGACTTGTGAGCCAATTTCATCTGCAGGTGGCTGGTGCAATAGGGGCGCGTTGATTCTTTGAGAGACCCAACCACAAACGTCATTCCAACTTGCGACCGCTCCAACTTTACAAGCGGACCCCCAGAAGTGGCAGCGAAATTTGGTGTACTGCCCCAGTTCGCGGTGGATGGGCAAGTCTGAATGAAATATGTCTTCATTGCGGTGGATGGGCATCGACTCGATGCATCCGAGATCATGAATCAAAACAATGAAATGCGTCACTATGAGTCACTGAATCACTTGAAATTCATGCGATAATAAACACTTCAACATGACAGGATTGGAACGTGTCAATGACCTGGCCGTAAACAGACCTTTCTTCAAGCATACCGTGGCCAATTCACATGCCCCACTATGGAAATGATGCATGTCCACAGTCTGCTCTAACTTGCTGCCCGGCCCGGCCTGTGTCAAGTAGAAGGGCATCTGGGTAGGCCTAATTGGCCTCCAGGCATGAATTAGTTCAGCTAGATATGGTCGGACCTAAAGGACATAAAGAGTGTCAGTTCGATCTTGTTTGCAGCACTGGCTGACTGAATGATTTGGTCTGGCCTTCAATCATCTCTCTACACTCCATTGGGTCCGTTAGTTCACACTGCATTCCACAGAGCAAGTCTTGTGGCCAATGCACTCACACTCGGCCCCACATTCGAACTCGTTAAAACATCTTGTGATAATGGTGGAACTCCTATCCAACTGGGTCTCACAAAACCCTTCATGCGGTATGGCCTGGAAACAAAGAATTTGCCACGCGCACCATGCTGCGCATTTGCCTCAGTCGTCTGTCAGTGGGTCGGAATCAATGTCAAGGCGGCACACCCCACTGATGTGACTCAGTTTACAGGCCACTGAACAGGAAATTAGACAAAAGCACTTACTCTCAAAGATGTGGATCAATCAATCTGCATACATGTACATAGTGTAAACTTAGATAATATACATGTGTTTGTCTCCTTCAAACAGTCATTTGGAGGGGCCTCGTCGTGGAATCAACCAAGTCCACACTTTCAAGGCGGCTGGCCTCATAGACAGAGAGCACCGTGGAGTTTCCTCTTCTCGCCGGTGCATCCAGCAAGAATGGAGCTTCCTGCCATCGGAACGTCGCGAATGCTAAAATGGTGAGGGCATCTGTCCATCTCTGAAACTCTGCAGTCGAAGAATGGCAACAAGTTACATTGCTATCCTCTTCTTGATTTCCAGGCCTTGGCCAACGTGCCTTCCCAGTAGCTCGGTCTGAAGGCCGCACCCATGAGCTCCTCTTCATCCTGGCACAATCAAACCAGTGCTGCTTGAAATCAGGAGTCCGGAAGGTGGTCATAAATATGTTGCCTTCATGTCATGTTTGTGTTTTTTGCAGCATGCAAGTAGAGCCTTGCACACCCATACATACACACCCTACAGTCCAGGGCAGCGTAAAGGCTTAGCGCGCGCCCAGAGCAGAGGTTGTTGTTCCTCGGAGTCAGAACTGTGGCAGGACATTGCTTGTGCTTGTGCACAAACTCCTCCTCCTCCCTCAACCAAACGTTGGAATCCCATCAGGCACGAAACACCAGTTGAACACAACAAACCTATCAAATCTGCTCACTCTCTGCTGACACCCAAATCCACCTTACAATCACCATAGCAGCACAGTCAATTTTCCTTTGGTCCAAGGTGCAGTTGAGTGCAGGTCCATTGGTTGTTCAGCTCCTGGGGCAGGGTGCCAAGAACTTGGATTCTCAATTCCAGGGTTACACCCTGACCTAGTCGTTTTCCAACCCAGGCAGTTAAATCCCACCTCCCACGCACGATGAGCAAGCCCTCGTCGCTGTAGGGCCTTGGGACGCATCTGACAATCCAACCATTGAATATTGTGTAATATATATATATATAATTAAGTATAATTATGGGTGTGTGTGTGTGTATACAGGGTGTGTACATATATATATATATGTATATTAATATATTGTATAACTTACAACTGTAATGGGACAAGGAATCGCAGACTATGTGTTCAACTACAATGGGCCAGTGGCCCTTCACTTGGCCTTTTGTTCATAGGAAGGCACAGTGCTCCAGCATAGCCAGGCTGTATTGCTTTAACACGCAAACCCTGGCTTGGAGGTGTATCGCTCAGTCCAAGGTAATTGCCCTGTAGGAGTTCAGCAAGAATGTCAGAGATGTTTCACTGATTGTGCATGATACTTGGGTCAGCAAGGGGTCATGTATGACACAAGAGTCAAAAGCAGGTTGTCCTCCAGCGATATAAAGGATTTGTCCATCTAGGCCATCTAGCTTCTAGCTGCTTTGCACAAATACCCATCTGAACCTGTGGCTCGGAGTGTTTAGGTACCACGAAGGAAGATTCTGACGTTTCACCAAGCGGCGGAAGTAAAATCCCAGCCATCACGGCTGCGAGACATGCGGATGGCGCCAGTGAGCGTGTCTACAGCGCGATCCTCGTGCGGCTTGCGTGGCTTGCCCGGAAAGTGATTCGAATGATTGCAACTGTGCCAAGTGGGATGCCTCGCACTTCAATTGCCTCTGCCTGCTTCACGATCATTTTACTATAATTAGTAATATGTATTCCTCTAGCCTCTAACCTAATAGCGATGGCCTCCAACCTACTGTTACTAGCAATGGCCTCCAACCTACTAGCGATGGCCTCCAACAAATAAAGACTCCGGGTTCCACGAAGACCCCATGCCATCTTTGCTGTGCCCAAGTCAACTCAAACGAGACATCAACCTACGCCCAACCTATGGGATGATACACGTGGTGAGATGGGTCCAAGTTCAAAGCGTTGACCTTCTCTTTCTGGCCAATACTTGAAGGTAGTGTGTTTCAAGGTCCAATTTGCATCACTGAACCACTCGATCCAAGTGGCTGGTGGCTCCACGATACCCACAAAGACAGCCTGCTCCACTGACTTTGAGGCCTGAAGACAAAAAGGCTGAGTGACCAAGTCCCTCGAAAGCAGAATCCAAACAGAATAACACGACTCGTTTCGTTCGGGAAAGTGGCCTTAGCAAAGTTCCCAGGAAAGCACTGAATACCCACGCCGATCACCTAATAAAACAAGATGAAACAAGCATGTTGGAACTTTTCTTTTTGAGGGGAACTTGAACCGAATATCATGGTGAGGGACCATAGTGCTTTCAATGTCAACTGGTATTAACCAACATATCCAGCATACATATGGTTTGCCATGTTGGTGGTTTAAGGTTCCCAGATGCGAGAATGGCATCAGTTCTTGAACATTCTATTAATTGAGGGTAGTCTACACGTGTGTCCTTGTGAAACTGCACAGAAATCCGTCTGTTGTGACATAGGCCTTGAGTGCTCTGGCATATATGGGATAGTCTTGCCAATCTGATTGTGTTACTTTCATCTGTCGCGTCTAGATCGCAGCAGGCCTCCAGCAGAACCCACTGCGTCGCATTCAACACCTTACAGGCAAAGGCTTTAAGGGGAGTTATGAACGAGATGTTGCAGCGCACTAGACTACACTATTGGTGAACTAATTTGAGAGTGCATGGGAGACCATTGTCATCATTGTTAGAGAGAATCCGATGCATCAGGATTGCATACAACATCTGCAAGATATACCGATCAAGGTGGCCGCTAGGGCTCCAAGCAATGCTGCCAATCAGCTCTTTCTGTGTGGCGACAGAGTGGGCATAGTTCCGGAAAGTGGCCTTAGCAAAGTTCCCAGGAAAGCACTGAATACCCACGCCGATCACCTAATAAAACAAAATGAAACAAGCATGTTGGAACTGTTCTTTTTTGGGGGGGGAACTTGAACCGAATATCATGGTGAGGGACCGTAGTGCTTTGAATCATCAGCCTCAATTCAACGTGTATTACCCAACAAACATATATACATATGGTTGGCTCTCGAGCAAACTCCGAATCGCTGCTGAATCCTTCAGTCAACTCTCTTCATCTTTCTTCGGTTCAAGCTGAGGCCCGGCCTTCTGGGCATCCAATGAGAATAAGGCCAAAGGAACAAAAACCTTATCGCTGCTGCAGCGAAAATATGAAACTTTCGTGCGTTAAGTCTTGGCGCGTTGTCTGATTCTCACAGAATTGCGTAAATATGGTGTCGGTTGAATATCAAATATCTGTACATACATCATCGAGGTTCGAAACGGCCTGAAGCTAGTCAAAACAGCCATGAAACAGCTTGAGTCTTGAGTCTTGTGATGCCTGTGCATTCAAGTTGATGTTTGGACTGTTGACTTCCAGGGCACCTCTTCATGAAGTTTATGTGTCGTGTGTTTAGGACCTCAGGGCCAAGCTAAAATGAAGGCCACCAGCATGATCACGGTAGGACACATCACGGCACATCGAAAAGGAACACCTGCCACAGCGGACCGGAGGTCTTTTGAGGTCTCGTCAATAAGCATCATTGAGCCAAAGTATAAATAGTAAAATGCTCACTGGATATCACTGGATGATATGGAGGCTGCTACAACCTACCAGTCTCACACCTAAACACTGCCGAGACACCAACTCTGAAGGGATTCCTTGGAAGCGCAAAGCTGGAGGCCATGGGTGAAGGTTGACTGAGCAGCAGGAAGCCTATGGTCCATAACTTCAGGTGCGCAGATTACATAGAACATCAGCAAAAAAACAAGAGGTGATAGTAGAATCATTCCTTTCACTTCCTACATGAAGGACCCAAGGTTGAAGTTCAGGCTCCTGGCGGTTTGGGACCTGTAAGACCGATAAAACACCTATAGGTCCTCTGGTTTCAGCCACACCCATTCACAACCTTCCCACGTCGTGGTGGCTTCCTGACTTGTAGATCAAGCGGCTGCTCCTCACTTCGATCGGCCTGTTGTGTCGGGCATATGCAGTGGGGCATAAGAATGTGGTTTTCCGTTGCTTGCCGCCAAATTGGAAATGAGTTGCTGGTCAAAGGTCACAGCAATATGATTCTGTGAGGCTAGCTGGCACTAGCTCTTGGTCATGGGCTTACGGCAAACAGTATAAACTGGTGTTGCCTGCTTGTACTTGTGAGACTGTGAGACAGTGGTCGATGTCTTCATACAACTCGGTTTGCCTGAGTCTACCGCTACAGTTATCAATCGCAGCTAAGAAATCCCTGTGCCCTGTGAGAGACACCTGCTTGCACAACAATCGTCCTAAATGCACAGCCCTGGCTGCGAGCCTCGCGGTTCCTATTGAAGCGGCTGGCTGGTGTGCTTTTGGCAGTATGCATTCTTTTGGGCGATTCCATTTGTGGAGATACAACCTCAGCCAACAGCTTCCAATTGTGTCTGGAATTGTCTGGATCTATCACCCTCTGGCACAGTTTTTTGCCCTACCTCAGCCAAGCACTCTTGGAGGGCGGAACTTTGAGGCTCATGCTCGAGAAGGGCTCGGCGTGAAAAAGGAAGGCGCCTCCTCCAACAGGATGATTACAATCTCACGTGTCCTTTAAAATCTAAGAATCCCTTATAGGTTGGAGGCCATCGCTCTTAGGTTGGAGGCCATCGCTATTAGTTCTCCTAAGAACTAGGAACCAAAAGGAATAGTGCGAGCGCTTCTTCAAGGAAGCTCGCCGTGCCTGAGGGCGCTTCCTTGAAGAAGCGTGAGCTGTCCTGCATCCTAGCTAGTAGCTACTCAAGCTACTACTTACTGTACCCGCTACTACTAGCTGATTGTTAGCCTACTACGGCCTCCCCCCCTTTAAGGACATTGAAAAACTTGACAAGAACATCAAGAAAGTGACAATTTGACAACATCACGACAGCTCGCCCATTTGTTGACCATTGCCAGGGCCAGTGAAGGTCCATTCTCCGTTTGCTCCTGCGAGAAGTGTGTCGTCTTTGGCGAACCTCTCCACCTCAGTCTTCTTGAAAGTCACGGCATTCTCAATCGAGCTTAGCTAGATTGTTTTGGAAAGCCAATAATGATGCCAAACAAACAGTCTTCAAGCAGCACTCTGGAGCCCCCACTTCCAGTCGTCTGCCTCCGATGCATTCAGCAAACCTGGCAATCAGGTCATGTTTCGCCATAGAGTCAAGCATGCTGCTTGACGGCCAATGGATATTTCAGGTTTTGGCCTATCCATAGTGTGTGTGTGTGTGTGTGCGTGTGTGTGAAGGAATTCCCAAGTTCTGCAGAGTCTTTCGAGCGGAGAGATCCCCTCACAACGCTGGTGACAGGTGCTAGACAGTACAAGACTTGCTTCCTTGGAATAATCCGTCAGGGTGCTAGGAAAAACAAGAAGCTAAACTCCAGGTAAGTTCCCTAGAAACAACCCTCTGTGATTGGCAGCAAATGGCCCTCGAGTAGTAAATGTTCAAAGAAAAAAAAGGATAGCGAAGGTATAATATAAACGAAAGCTAGGGCAATCGGTTGCACAAGTGCGTCACCGTGTAATCTTGATTCAATCAACGATGCCTAATGGTAACGGCCAGCTTACCGTTATCTTGTGCTGGTCATTTCTCGATGAGAACAAACTCAGCCAACCCTAGCTTTCGTGCTCAGTCTCTGTAATCAGGATTCTTCGAGTGATCCAATAGACCCACTTTGGACTTAGGTTAAAGCATGTAGTTCAAACAGGTGAAGATAAAGTCAATCTTTAGTCCAAAACCTATGTAAGTATTTATGTATGCGAATCTATGTGGGTCCGTAGCAAAAAGAGGTCAAGTTCTGAGAAACAAATGCACATCCATGACCATCCCCTCATTGCATCAACCACTTGAAAATGGCAAGCCCTAGCTAGTTGAACCCATGTTTCCGTATCTAGCTCACAATCATTCCCATGCTTCCTTTTACTGCACTCAAGTCAGGTCCACAAACCCAAGTTGAGGGACCATCTCACCGAAATCTTCACATAGACTCCGCACCTCCTGCGATGGTGCCTTGTAAGGCGCCCACTCGCTCGCGGACCTTGCTCGATGAACGCAAACCCCTGTAGCAGCGTCCTTGCTCCTAGTAGCGATGCCAGGAGCCCCAGTAGCTTCTTGTTACTACTAGTAAGGCACTTGTTACTAGTAGCGATGCACTTGTTCCTAGTAGCTTCTTGCTCCTAGTAGTAAGGCCAGGAGCCCCTAGTAGCGTCCTTGCTCCTAGTAGCGATGCCAGGAGCCCCTGGTAGCGTTCTTGGAAAACCGGTTTGCATCGGACCGCCTATGGCAATCTGCAGAATCCCATCCGTCTCCCATAGGAGTGTGAGGATGCTCACGGCTTCATATGAATTGCTTTCCAGGTACTTGTAGGGTGTGTTCGCTTGAAGTTAGGACGTCCGGTATCTTTTCTAGCATCTTTAGATATCATTGTCGTTCGGTCTGTGCAGTCATGTGTATAGTTCAGTTTTGTTCACAGGAATCCCAGCATGACCGACTTCAGTAAAGAAACCTGCACCAAATATCATGCAAATGCACCTTTGCCGACTGTCTATGCAACTTCCCTGCGGTATCGTTTGGGGTGTCGTTGAGGTATCGTTGTGCGTCCCGGATTTTTGTGCTTCTTTGCCAGAATTCACTCTACAAGTGGGGCATATCTTTTTCGAATCTCCTGTGTCCTTTGCCAAGGAAAACTGAACACCACGAGCCCGGAACTTGAAGAAATTACTAATCTTCTGGAGTACAGATCTTGAATCCTTGTCTGTTTGCCAGAGTGATCTTGAGAATCCTTGAGACTTGACACACAAAATATTCTAACAAGCGGGTTGCCATCTATCAAATGAAGAACCTCCAGTCTGCATGATGCAGGAAGGGGAGTTGAAGCAATCCCACACTGCAAATATTCTCGTGTAGGAGGGAGCATCAAAAAGTCATACATTCTTTCTATGCCATGCATGAACGTGTAAGCAGACTGCAAGGAAGCAATGTAATACCATCTCGACCATCTTGCAGGATGCTGAGCTTGGAGCCACCTCCATAATGCTATGAATGCTAGTAACACCTGGGATGTCGGCCATCAGCAGGAACTGTCCAGTAGACTTGACAAATGTGTGCTTTCCTCTTGTGCGTAGACAATGCTTACTTTCGAAAGATGAGTGCAAGCTAGTTCCGCCAAGTTGCTATCCTGGCGTTGTGGCGGCAAGATCAACGCACTCACTGTTCCTCAAACACTTTTGTGGCTCAATGTGGCTCATCCACGCTGACTTGACTCGCTGATGATATTTGACGTTTTTAGCCTTGCGTGGAAACAGCCCGTTGGGAACTAATGATATCTCACTGGCCGCTGTGCAAAGTCCGTCTGAACTTGGCAGCCCCACGTTTGGTGCAAACGCTCTTGCCATCCTGGCAAGATTGCAGGGGTCCAGAGGCCCAGCTTTGAGAAGGTGCTGGGACGCAATTCTTAAGTAAAAAGATATATCTTCAGCACACTATAATCACCATACAGTAACTATATATACATTATATACTGTAGACATCCTCTTTTTGCCTGCCTCTACAGCGATCGACGTGAGATTCACTTCACATCTCCCATCGCGCTCCTCGTCGCTGGAGGCCGATTGATCTGTCACTACTCAATGGTGTGGCTCTGACAAAGGGTCAGAACTGCACGAGCCCTCAAATCGGCTATGCTCTACAGTAACTCAGTATCAGGTGGAAAAGACCACTCCACTATGAGCCATCCTTAGGTTTGGTGCAACAAAAATCCGTGGATTGAATGTGAGGGGCAGGAGGCAACTGAAAGACAACAAATGCAATCGGCGGTGCTCCTGAGCAACATCGGCTGAAGCGTCTATGGCATCCGCGTCCATGGAGGACACCTGACGGGAATTCTGAGAAGTCTACATGATCCAAATACGGCAATCGAGCAAGTTCGTTGTCATGCTGTTGATAGACAAAAAAAGAAATCCTGCACCACTTTGCGCACAGTTCTCTGGCTGCCCTCGTCCTCCCTCGTTAACATTGGGGCCACCACAGTGAGAAAAACTAAACAAGTTTAAGGTCCAAAAATCCTGCACCACCTCCTCAGAGGTGTCGCGCCAACATTGAATGAGGGGGGCGAAAGGGGCTATGCGACCCTTCCAGGGTAAAGTGGTGAGGTGGTGCAGGATTCCGTCCATCAACAGTGTCACTACAACATGAAATGATATGGAATGCTCTCTCTAATTCACTCAACTGCTAGCTTGTCAATGATGGGAATACAAAGCAGACAACAGAATCAAAACATATCAAAAGCATTTCTCCGAACCGACTTCTTCGCCTCGGCTTCACACAGCTCCTTCGCCCGGTCGGGCCGCTCCGCCCGTCTACCGGTGCACGCTGTGAACACGAAAGAAAGCGACGATTTACCTGTGATTAAGTCGGGCCATTCCAGGCAGTGTGGGTCACCCGATGTTTTTGATTAAACAAAATGATTAATTAAAAAAAGAAAGCACATGAAGACCGGTGCCGGTGACCTCAGCAGGGGTTCAGGACAACCAAGAAACTGCTGCGGATTGGAGCGGGGCACATGTTGGGATGCTGATGTCTTGATTGCTTGGTCATTTGGTTCAATTATTCATCAATGAGCCATAAATCCACCTTCTATTCTAGATACTGCTTATGATTCTTATGTTGCTCTGCATCAAAAGGGTTATATACAGTGGTTTTGAGCCTCAAAATAGGGCTGCAGTAGAAGGTCAGCGATAGAGGTGCTGGGGCATCAGTTTGCTCAGATGTCCACACTGATAACATCATGAAAAGTGGGGGATTCATTGATGATTCATTGGGGCTTCAGCTAACTCAATTCACAAGCTTTCTGTAGCATGAGTTCTTGAGTGCGTCCCTGCAGTCTCGTCATCTGCCCTTCCCCTGGTTCTTCACGCAAATGTGCAGAGCTGGACGCCAGCGTGACGCCATGATATTCTGTAGGCCCCTGTCGAGACAGACTTTTGTAGCGCTTGACCTGGCACGGTACCAGGCATTCCTGAAAATACCAGGCATTCATATTTAAACCGTAAACCCACAATCATGCAAAACAGAGCTTAAGTTACAAACTGGGTTTGTGTTTACCGAAATCTCACATCCGCGTGTTGTTTCGTTCTATACAGGCAAAACACATTTGCCTTGTTGTCCCAAAAATGCAGCCCCTCTGCACTGCTCATCGAACCAATACCATAATCGGTCGTCTTGAACTTTGACAGATGTCCCTCGAGAACATGACCCTATTAAGCAAGGCAAAGTCTAACAGTCTAACAAATTCGATCATGGTTCAGATTCCTACTGTATTGTGTCAAACAAAAGGGTGCACTCACTTCTATTCCTACTTCCATAATTATAGGTCAACTCTTTCTCAACTAGCTAACAGGTCACAATCGCCCACCAAGATACTGTGCATGAGATCCTGATAACACGCAAGTCAGTACAGATTCTTTCAATGAAACCCTTCCCAGCTGCCTGAGCTCCATTCCATGTATTTCCAGGGTCTGGCAGGTCAAAGACCTCAGGTACTTGCTGAAGCTGGAACCATAGTCAAATCCAGAACAAGGACGCTACTAGGGGCTCCTGGCCTTACTACTAGGAGCAAGGACGCTACTAGGGGCTCCTGGCATCGCTACTAGGAGCAAGGACGCTACTAGGGGCACGAAAGTCAAGATGCGTCCCGATGGGATCCTGTTTGCTGTGGCAAGACGAGACTGATCGAGACTGTAAAGGTGAAGGTGGTAAAACCGCTCTGTACATCAAAGAATGTCATCTCCAAGCCATGCTCTTCCATGATGTCATACACTGCCAGATTGCAAATATATTTGCCTTCGAGACCGACTGAGGCATTAAAGCTCAGATTGAATCTTCATATTGTTATGAGAACACCAACAACCTCCTCAATCTTCTTGCGCGCCATCTCCAAGCATTAAAAATGCACTTCATGGCCTGATTCGACTAGCGCCTTGACAACAGGAAGTGTTGGGTTGAGGTGTCCTACAAATTCAGAGCATGTGAAGAAGCAGCGCACCATCGCGACATGAAAAAGCTGGAGAATGCATGGGGCTCAACGTTTGCTTTGGGAATCAGCTGACTGGCATGAAGACTTGACTTGAAAACAACACGCATGTCAAAAGGCGCAGCAAACCAAACAGCAAACTTGAAAGTCTTGCAAACAAGAACAAAACCCTGGAACAAAATAATCCCTCCCCATTGCCAAACCACATCCAGACTTTCAGAAGCTGACTTCCTTGCTGTCAGCCCTGGTTAGAAACCAGTGCCGTTCTGAGGGCCCCGCTGCGATTATGGGACTGGCACAGCTTCGCTTGTATTCACAGTTTGCAGTTCATATGGCTAGTTTGACATGAGGAAGACAAAAAGCAAAGCTCCCCATGGATCTAAAGACTATCGCTTGTCTATGCTTTCCTGATAAGCAAGAGAATGAGAATGGGGCAAGAGCAAAAGGGTGCCAAAGTTCCTCCTCCGGGACAATTTCAGTCTTAACGAATCTTTGAAGTCTCTATTTCTGCAGTTGATAGTTGATACCTAGATTCCTTCGGCGCGGCCTCCAGGGTGATGGAGGCCGGTCCAGCCCAAAGCGGCGCGTCAGCAACTGACCGTGCTCGGATGGGTTGTCCAGCTGTCCCGAACATGCTAACTCTGTTAAATTCTTGTCCTGCACCAAGTCGATCAAAAGAAGCTTCACTTTAATATGCTTTATATAATCAAAACATATCAAAACTCGTTATCATCGCATCTATCCATCCTTCAGTTTTCTTGAATTCTAAAGCTTCTGTACTTGTCATCAAGGAGAATGATTGAGCAGTCCTTTGTGGGGTATCGCCCTATTCTGACCTTCCTTCTTGGTTCGTTTTTCGCTGAGGTACCTCCGTGGCTTTCAGCAATCTTGCTGGCCAAAAGGTGAACTTGTCATGGACCAGATTGAGATCCTCACCAAACAAGCTCGCAGGGGCCGCAAATCAGTTTGAAGATTTAAAAGAGCATTCATGAACCTGGCGACACCCGCCGCATGACATACAGTATCAAGTCTCGTCATCAATGAATCAACCAATCCAACTGTCGCAGTACCCAGGTTGCATCAATTTCCAGGTTGCACTAATTCTTGGTCCTGCTCTATCTGCAGGGTCTGATTCCAGTACCATTCGATGAGACTATGGCCATCAATCATCACCTGTGGCGAGTTCAAGCACTGCGCTTTGCTAGGTTCATGCTGCATTTGGGCGGCTGAGAGGAAGCTGGGTGTTTTACCAGCATTCATATCATTCATACATTCATAGATTCATAAACAACTCAAAGATCTGAGTGATTTGGCAAATGTTTTGGATGGAGTTTGTTTTCTGGCCACCATGGGCCGTGACAGCTTTTCAGAAAAGGGAAGGCTCTCCTTGTGGTTGAACCCAAATGACCTGCCTTGTGTCGGCTGTCACAAAATTTTTCTTGTGACTACTAAGCACTACAAGTGCTAGCTACCAAAATTGACTGGTTGAACAACACGTCCTGTGCCTCCATGGTCTCCTTTGGCCATGGAAAATCGTCTAATTCGTCCCTGTCAGCATGTGGGCCAGAGATGGCCCGAGCACAATGGACCGAAGACAAAAATGAGGAAACAAACGGAGAGGAATATAGGTTGATGTTCATAACACTTATGTTACGTTGTTGACTGCAACAAATTAAGTGTCTTCTGATTCTCTGTGTCGACCCAATCAATTGCGTGTTCGCAGGAGAACACCAAGTCTATGTGAAGGACGATCAAAACTTCTTATGTGCGGCTACTATTGCATCGTCATATTTGTAAGTCCCCCATCGTTTCCCACTGTTTTGAAACCTCGTTAAAGGATATCGTTTTTTTTGCGAGTCCCCTATCATGTGCCAGGGTTTGGAGCATGCCATATGAATGCAACGCTCTTATGATTATGCAATTGTAATCATCGCAAATGTTGAAGGCACTTCATGTGTGTGTGTGTGCGTGACTGCTGGTGCCCAAAGAGCAGGTGTGCCAGGTGACCGTTACCTTCCACCTGGGATGTTCGGCCAGCATGCAAAATGGTCACCTTCAGAACAGCACGAACCTACAAGAAGAAGTGATGTTCTGTAGTCTGGTAGGCTAAAGCACAGGAGGATCCAAATTACAGTATACAACAGCAATGTCCGGTCATGAAATCGTCCCACTCAATGAACCTCAGGCCTGAAAGCTCTAAGGCCCGTCCGGCGTGGCCGCGCTTGTGGGCCTCGCAGGGTCGGGAGGGTCTTCCTTCTCTTGGAGAGGTCTTCTTCGTTCGAAGGAGCAAGGACGCTACTAGGGGCTCCTGGCCTCACTACTAGGAACAAGAAGCTACTAGGAGCAAAGGGCATCACTACTACGAGCAAGGACTCCATTAGGTTGGAGGCGCATGAAAGAGGCCATCCTAGGCTCACTGCGTGGCGGGCTCAAAAAGGCCGGATCACAGCAAGTGAGGACTACCTGGTCGTTTCAGCCGCTGATGATTTCTTTCAGGTGAATGAACGGAGGATGCGGGCCCGGGCCCTACTCAAGAAGAATCAAGCACATCTGCACAAGGTGTTCTAGGAAGACCAGCTGTCATTCTGTAAGCTGAAAGTATGAACACTATGTCACTATGAGCTTTTGATGGATGTGTGCTGAGGCTAGTACTATCAAAAACGCCAGCACTCGCCGCCCGAAACCTCCCTCCCTCAGCAAGTAGCGGAAGCGAGCCCTTGCCACAAAAGCGTGAACGCACAGTTAGGCACCTAATAGCGCTGGCCATGGCCTCCAACCTACTAGCCATGGTCAGCTCGTTCTTCTGTGTCGTCAAGCATTAATCATTCATATTGAAACTGAACCAACAATTTAGCTAATCCACCCACTCACCGGTATCTTCCACAATGTAAGCTCCGGACAGCGTGCAGTTTCTAGTCTCGTCTGCTTTTAGCATGTCGGAAAGCTGCACTCTAATTGCCAATCAAAGCGAAGAGCGAGAAGAAGACAAACTCAGTCACTTGTCTCTCACATTGGATTCACATGGTGGAGTTTATCCATCCAGGTCTTGCTGAACTTGCCGAATTCAAGTTAACTTCACAGTTTCCGAAGGGCGAAGTGTTCTTCTCACGTGTTTCCAGAAGAAAGAAACATGCGGTCTTGATCTTTCTAGCCCTGTTACAAATGAGACTGAAATGGTGAAGCGTGGGGGCTTGCGCCAGAAGATCAGTAATTTGGAGGTTAACGGTTAATAGCTCAGAAACTCTGCGGCTCTGTGTTGTTCTTTGTTTGTGCTCAAGGCCTAAGCAGGTCCCCGCATCATTGCGGGTTTCATGAAATGACATGAGAAAGCTTGAACACCAACAAAGCCATGCAGCATGC